TATGAAATCCCAAAATTTGTTGATGTCTGATATTGTTTCTGATATCGGTCTGATATTTCGCTGACTTTGTTCTTTGCCCTCTTGGTTTGTCAGTTTGTAACATATTACTTGATTTTCTCATATCTGATTGTGTTCTGATAACGGTATATTTCTTTGCCTACTAACTGAGCATGTCAAGTCCTAAATTATTACTTGATTTTCTGATATCTGCTGATATTGTTCTGATATTAGTCTGATATTTCCTTGTCCACTGGGTATGTTTGTCAAGTTTTAAAATTTAGTCTAAAGAAAGAGTCATTTCCACGCAAACTTTATTTTTGTCTTACATTCACAGTGCATGCAGCTGGGCCGTGCAATTCTCTTTGCTTTTATTCAATCAATTGCTGTGACATATTAAACTTTTGTAAATACTAGTCTCACCATTCTGATTAATCTTTAAAACTATGACTCCAGAGATAGTTCATAATTCTGCCCTGTGATTTGCAGGGGGCTTAGCCCACACTGGGTTGAACAAACAGGTCATTCCCTCGACAAATAAAATACCAACTGCAAATGCTAGCAATACTTGGCAGAGGGTGGAACAGTATATATTATAGAAGTACAAGAGACCGCTTTAGAGAACAAAGTTTAATGCTTCAAAGCCAAGCCAGAAGTGGCAGGCACAATAAGTGAGGGCAACAGGAAAAGGACTGCTGTGGGGCGCGCTCTGCCGGGGATACAACTATCAGAGTAGCACATCTTTCCTTTTTGAAAAAAAAGATAGCAAGTCAATACAAAATTGTTAAATAAGCAACCCTATGGATTGCGGCCTTTTGCCTAGAAAACGGCTGAACATTGCTAGAAGTTTAGGAATCCCGTAAAATGAAGCAAGTTAATTAACAAGGCAATAATGTCTAATCTTGGCCTTTGATAATAACAATACCAAAACTGCTAACAAACGGGTTATTAGAATAAAAAATACCAAGCCTAGCTAAATCAAGTATGAGGGCAGAGTGCAATTATCAAAATGGCAATAACGAAGGAAGAGGCCTTCACAATAAGTTTGAGCCTGCAACTGGCTAAAAATCCACACCACAAGTTAAAGAAACAAAACTAGAACTAAAATTGCCTCTGAAGTGGTGACACAGTACTTAACATATAGAAAGTAATAAATAATTTAATTCCAGAAAAGTGCATAGCTTATAATTTAAATTGGATGAAATATGTTTGAGCATATTATTTAAGTGCGCAGAAGAAAGAAGTGGAACTGTCTAGTTTGTTATGCCATAGAGGAGAGGTACACCACATGGAATTTACACTAGACCCCACATTCACAACCACTAACATGCAACAAACTAAAAAATAAATTCAAAAACTACAACCAACAAAGTAGGTGATCATGCTCAAAGATGTACAAAGAAGGGGAGTCAGTCAAGAAGAGCAAGTCCAACAGTTGAGAGAGATTAATATGCTACAAACGTATTTCACAAAGTACAGAAAATAAACACCTTGCTGCACTCAAAGATAAGGACAGATTGATATGCAAACACTCTGACTATACTTAAATGCTCAATGTAAGAGAATAATTTAAGGTGAACAATAAATCGCGTGTCTTGAAATTTGGAGATAGAAGGATTCCACGGTGGCAGAGCAGAGCATTGAAATAACCTGAGGGGATAGATATAATTGTTATTAACAGTAAAACATTTAACAAGTAAATAATAAATTGAAATAAAATGAAAGATATGGAAGATATCTCAGCCTAGTGAGGACAGGTGCTTACCTTTTCTGGTTATTCTTGGAGACAGCAAAGCAGAGTTAGAAGCAGGAAGCAATGTCGGGGTGTAGTCCTGGAGGTCTTGCAAGTATCAGGGTTGAGATGTCTTCGCTGGCCGCAGTGAGTTCCTGATGACAGGGGGTGGAACTGGAACTGGCCTCGAACTGTGGAAAAGCCAAAAGTGGAGATTAACCAGTGATGTGAAATTGATGACAATGACAAATTTCTGTCGTTTGGAGCGTCAGAAATTACAGTAAATGAAGTGCACTGAAGAGTAAAGTGATATATTACCTGGATATATTGAAGGTATTTATTATCTGACATTATTGCAGCCAATCCATCCAAAGTGTGGCAGGTTCCAGATAATTTCGCACCAAATTAGAGTAGTGGGAACTGTCGGCATGGTCACCAAGAATGAACCTGAAGGAATAGGTAGATGTTATGAAAAGGAGAACATTTGACAAAAAATCATAAATTGAAAATAAATTAGAGATGGAAAATGTCTCAGGCTGGTAAAAACAGTTGCTTACCTTTTATGGTTACCCTGAGACAGCAAAGCAGAGTTAGAAGCGGAGTCCAATATCAGGTTGGAGAGTCCTGGAGATCCGATTGGAGTCGAGATACCTTAGCTGACCGAAGTGGGTTGATTGTTGACGGGGGTCCTGGAGTCGAGATGTCCCCGCTGACCGCACTGAATTCCTGCTGACAGGGGTGGTACTGGAACTCGCCTGGAACTGGAAAAGCAACTGGAGAAACGAGCATATCTCAACATAGCAAATTAACTGAAATTCGTTCCACTGGAGCTGAAACGTTGGCTAGAGGATGTCCCGCGGAGGCCCCGGTGGGGGCGCGGGGCGGGCGGCTGCTGCAGCTGACGAGTGCAGGCGTGCCTCACGGTTACTCTGGAACAGGAACGAAACTTGATTAGAATCATTATTCCAAATTAATATCCAATATGCCAACTAGAGGCCACAACAAATGACAGCTTCCGCTTACTTGTAGACGACCTTGAAGACACGTGAGCGGCCCTCCGCGGCGACGAGGCCGCGCTCTCCCAGGGTGGAGTCCAGAGCAGAGAAGGCGGCTGAGGTCTCGACGGCCGCGGCAGCTGCGTGGAAGTCAAACAGAAAAGACGGTATTAACTCTGGTTCCTACGTGCGGTTGCAATAAGCGATCAGTTTGCCCTCGTGATCCCCCGGTCACAATGTAATTAAAAAACACCCGCACAGCCAGCTGCGGCCGACACTGCCCTGGTCGCCGCGACTCAGCGCCGGTCCCGCGGGGGGGAGGGGGCCTAGGGGGGACATTCGCGGGGTCCGGCGGGTGCAGGCAGGCCCAGAGCAGCGCGCAAGCCAGCAAGCAGCGGGGCGATATCAACGAACTGACCGGGGCCACTACAAGCAGGCCAAACGAACAAAATGCTTTCGAAACGCACCTGTGCAGTCTGCTGACCACGGCCATCAGCGACGCAGAGTCCAGGCGGGAAGGGCTCATCACGGCAAAGTTGAGATGTCGACTGGAACATAAACACGATATTAGTTCAAGTAGAGTCCACAATCAATCACAAACAAGCCGAGTGAAGTTACCTCTCAGCTGGAACAGTAGATCGGTAGTCCCATAAAGTCAACGCTGTAGCTCAGCAGCACAAGGCGGCGGGCTTGGGCAGACAGCTCGCTCGCAGCGACACACCTGCTTAGCCCTAGGGCTGCGTCCGAGTCGAGACGGAGTCAAACAGCAGCGGGGGCCTGGCTCTAGTGCTAGGACAATATATAAGAAATTAGGCTCAAAACAAAGCATAACGACGATCTAATGGGACACACGACTGACCTTGAGGAGTGAAGAATGTTCCCCAAAGTCTTCGTAAAGTTATGAAATTTAAAATAGGTTATAATAAATCGCGGTTGATAAAACTTTAAATGATATCGCGGTGGATAAAATTTAAATTAAATGATATCGCGGTTGATGAAATCTTTAAGTTAAATGAAAATACAATAGGGTACTTCACCTGACGCAAACCGGATTCAAAGAAAAACAAGAGTTCTTCCTGAACTCTTTCCTCCCTTGCTCTGATTGGCTGACGCCGACGAAGTTCATGAGCTGGCCGCAAGGGCGGTCGACCCCTAGTGTCCGGTCCGAGAACTTCGTCGGCATCAGCCAATGAGCGCCAACGAGGAAAGAGTTCAGGAAGAACTCTTGTTCTTCTTTGGATCTGGTTTGGGTCAGGTGAAATACCCTATTAAACTTCCGATCCCGACGTGAGCTGTTAAACATCGCCGAGCGATCGCGGAAAATGAACACGGACTGCAGCAAAACGGCGCGAAAGGACTTGAGAGCATTGTTCGACAATGTCAATGCAGTCATTAATGAGCTTTGTTGTGTATTTGAGATGAGTACCCTTTGGAAGTTGTAGCCCCCTAACAAAGTTACGTATCGCTAAGTAGACCTGAAACTTTATATAAAGAAATTAAGTGCCGTACTGGGCTTTGGGTAACAGGGCGCCATACTCGGCTGTGAGAGAGATCTGAACAAGTGGAGCGACCAAACAAAAAGCGATTGTACACAAACTCTAGCGGCGAAAGACGAGGCCTACCTTGTTGGCAGCGGCATGAGCTGCGACCATGCCACCGCCTCAGCGCTCGCCCAGGTGGATGCGGTTGAAGTCGGCTTGGACGGGGCGGGGCATCGGCGGCCGGAGGACACGTCGTGGGCTCCTCTTGCTGGCGATGCACACGAGGGGACAAACAAACCGAAGGGGCCGGGCTGTGGTCCGCGGGCGCAGACCACGCGTTTCGCGAAAGAATGCTTTGGGCGTAACAGTGTCAGACTGCACGGGGCACAGAGGTCATTCCCTGTGCGAGCTCTACGCGAGCGCACGGGCGCGACGTGGCCGCTAGCTAGGGACACCGAAACATCGGTGCCGACCAAACAGGCTCGAAGTACAAGACGTTTGAATGCCGAGCGAGGCCCACAGATCTGCAGGGCGATCCCACACTGTGTTTACGCGTGCCCTCTCCCTCATGGTGGCAGCGGAGTGCGACAAGGACGGAGAGAACAAAACAAAACACGGTGCGCAACCACCCTCCCTGGCGCAGACGACGGTCAGGCAGCCCGGTTATATCGCTCACCATATATCGCATCCGCGCCAGGCGAGCCGGGGCAGCACCGGGCACCAAACGGCTTCTGCCTCCAGTCAAAAGGGTCAAAATAAGAGCTGCCGCGGCGGGGCGGGGCGAGCCGGCGCCTGTAGGACAGCGGGGGCCGCATGACTGGGCTCGCTTCAGTCCCGTTCAACAAGGACAAACGCCTTGTTTGCCTCACTTGTTCGTCCCAGAACTGGAGATTAACCAGTAAACCTGAGGTGAAAAAGTGAGCAAAAGAACATACGCGAAAGTCGGAATCAAAACCCGAGGGGCGCACAAAGCCACGGTGGGGCGGGCAGCCGAGTGGAACGGTTACAGATGACACAAGTACGGGTGCAAAAACAGTCAAATCAGCCACACGGGGCCGAATGACTTCGCGATCACTTTCACTTCCGTTCAACACCGGTTGTTGAAACGCCCTTTTGACCTCACTTGTTCATCCCAGCGCCAGAGGTAGACCAGCAAATCTGAGATGAAAAAGTGACCAAAGACAACATACACGAAAGTCGGAAAACACCGGGCGCAAGTGAATCGCGAGGGCCACGAGGCTGGAGTGGAGCGGGGGGG